ACTTGGATGCATGGGTGGTGCAATGGATAATGGCCTGGAATTTTTTATCAAAGAGCCAAGTTCTAATTTCACTTGGGTTTGTTATATTCACTTATGTGCAAATACTCTTGGGAAAAGCATGAATCCAACACTTATCCTCCAAGCTATGGGTTAATTAGTAAGACTTGTATCACGAAATCTTTATCTCAAAAAAAGACATTCTTACAATTTGAAAATATCTTTTTGGCTTTATTAACCTGCAAAGAGTTAATAACTTGTCGAAAATGAATCTATATATAACAAACACACACAATGAGGGTTGTTGAAGATGAACTCTTGAAATAAATCTTTAAAAAATAAAGTAAAAAGAAAATTATTCAAATGCTTTTGGCTGTTAGGAACATTTTCCTAGCATCTTATGATCTTTGGAGTTTCATTCAAAATTATGAAAAGGAAGAAATTGCTATAAAAATAATTCCTAGTTTGTTCACATTTAATAAAATGTGCTTAAAAACACTATGTAAATATTTAACTAATATGTATATAAAGAAAGACATTTTAACTAAGGTAGTATAGTGTTTGAAGTTTAATGTAGCAAAAAAAAAATAAAACCATAAAACAACAATGTTTTCCAAAAATTGAAAGTAATTACTTAGCTTTTTCATTTTTGTACATTTGTGATGTTGATTGATATTTCTTTCTGAATATTTCTTTCTTTTTATCAAATTTTTTTTTCTCTTAATTTTACTTGTGAAGAAATGTCAAAATATAAAGAAATAGTTTTGTAGAATTTTATATTTCATTAGACTAGAAAAAAAAATCTTGCTTTTCTGAGTTAGAGCTGAAAAGCAAGCAAGAACAGAATCCCCCCCCCCACAAACACACACACAAAAAAGTCCTATCTGTAGTCACTGGGTTAGATTTTTGGAAATGTATTAGGCTAAGAAGATTTAAGCTCTACTCATATATATAAATTTATTTGAAAATTATAACATAAATATGTTATAAAATCACTACAAAAATAACCATTTTGTTTCAACACTTCTAGTGTCTTATCAATCTTATCTTGATAAGGCATGAGAAGTGTTGAAACAAAATGGCTATTTTTTTAGTGATTTTATCACATTTATGTTATAATTTTCAAATAAGTTATATTTGCTCTACTCTGTATTGAGCACTCTCTTAATATTTTTTGATTATTGGAATTTATTCTGTATACACCAATCATATACTTGGCTATATATATATATATATAAATATGATAAGAAAGGGATTAAATCCAACAAATATTTAATATATTTTCTGTTTGTATATTATTTTTTAGGGATACACTTATTTAAGTAAATGCTTAATTAAACAGTATTAATTACATTTATTGGCCCGAATTTTAGCAAAATTTTGTAGAAAATATACATTCTCTGCATTCTATACGGAACCAGCATTGAACCAAGCAGGCTATGACCATTTAGCCACAGAGTACTTCTGATTTAGCAAAGTTTGAATTACTGCTTTTAAACACACACCTTCACCAATTGTTCTTGATCTATCATATCTACTCTGAATTCATAACCTAATGTAAACAATAACAACATATCACAGGAAATGGATTAAATCTGACAAGTATGTAAACATGCCAAGCTTAATGTTGGTTTATATAGGATACCAGTTCAATTCCTGTTGGAGAGCACATAATTTCTACAAAATTCCTTAAGCATACAAGCCAGCAAATGTAATTAATAGTTTTAATTAAAGAACAGAGCATTTACTTAAATTGGTGTATCCATAAAAAATAATGTATAATCGGGAAATATATATGAATTCAGTTGACAAATTGTTTAATTTTTGTTGTATTTTTACAATTTTAGGGTGAGTTGTTGCATGTTCAGATAAAATTTGGATTAATTGCCTTAGTACTTTTTGACTGTTTTGATCATTTCCCAGAACTATATGTTATCAGTATCATAGACAAGATTTTGTTAGCTACTGAGCATCAGCAACAACAACATTAAAAATATTAGAATAAGACAAGCATTGAGAAATAATACCAAAATACTGTTCAACCTATAAATAAAGACTCAAAATAGTCTAAGCTATTATTTTTAAAAAAATCTTTCAAATCTTTCTACCTCTATTGCATATATATATATATATATAGTGTGTGTACACAAGTCAGATATAAATAAATATATACCAGTAAAAAGAGTGTGAATGAAAACAAATTTTTCTCTATCAACATGTTCCATCCTCTGATGGAGTATATCAAGGTAAAAGATAAAGGACCTTGATAAAATCCATTCGAGGATGAAACCCACTGGTAAAGAAAATTTTTCCTTTTGTCTTTATTTATATAATATTTGTACAAGCCTTGACATATGGCTAATTTAAACTTTTTATGGATTTTTAGATTTACATTCTCTGAAATTTTCTTCATAAAACTATGAGCTAACTGTGTATCATTTATAAGAAAAGTATTTTGTATTGCTTATAAGCAATATCTCCAGCTAATCAATACTCTAATTATAATGTACATTTTTTTAGGCTGCTTTTAAATTGATTTTAATTTCAAACTATAATGAAATGCTAAAAGATTTCCGTTATTATAAAGTATATAGAAACTTGTTTTTAATTTAATTTTTTCACTTCAAGTCATTGTAGTGAATTTTCTCAGTAAATTTTCTCTTGTCAGTTGAAAAATACATTGCCAGAAAGAAAAAAATAAAATAGATCAAGGAACAGTTTCCTGTCTTGTCAAAAGCTTTCAACATCTGTTCTCAATTGAAAATTAACAAATAATATTCAAGTTTCAAGTAGTTTCCTTTTTTTTTTATTTCTACATGTATCTGTGTATGCTATATATATATATATATATATATATATATATATATATATATATATATATATATATATATATATATATATATATCTTATGACATGAAAGTGATTATTGTGATGTAAAAAAAACATTCTGAAAGCATAATGTTTTTGGATATAACAGTTTTTTTCTGAATTAATATTTAAAATATTGGTTGATTATATTTTTTTATCAGTGCATATGAACTAATATTATACACAAAACTGTTACTGAGAGATAATTATAACAAATTGATAAAATCATTTATGATTCCATAGAATATTTTATAATAGGTATAAAAATGTTAAAGCTGGATCACAAAAAGTTGGGTTTTAACTTCAACTTTTGATTTTAATTATAGAAAAGTATTGCAGAAGACGTAATTTATAAATTGAATGACTTTTTGTTTTCACAATGTAAAATGACACACAGGCTTCTCATTCCTGTTGGTGGAACCCCTCTCTGGTTGACCTCCACCACTTCTTATTTCTCATACTGGGTCATATAGGGTCCAGGTATATGGTCAGATTGTTACACCCTCTTTCCTTTGGCTGTCCTCTAGTTCTCTTCCATTGCTTTGGTGTACACTCTATGGTTCTAATAGACCACCAATTGTTGCTGATACATGAAACATAGCTAGCCTGTCTATGTTTTACCTTCTGCCATGTAAGATTATGCCAAGGATGATTCACTTCATTATCTTACATTGGACCACTCCATATATGTATATATATATATATATATATATATATATATATATATATATATATATATATATATATATATATATATTGTGGAAACTTCTGGAGGGCAAAAGGAGGACTGTGCTTGGCTAGGTAGCTTTTGGAAATGTTTATGGCATCATTAGAAGTGCCAAGTCAACAATTGAAATCAAGAGAAAATTGTTTAAAGAATATGTTGTGCCAATGGTAATTGATGGACAAAAAGTGAATTTGAATTATTTCAACCAAGTATTTAAATCTGTACCTATTAATAAAATGGGTGTGGTGGGTATAAAAATCACAGTGGCAGGAAATCATTATTTCTTCATTTTATGTCAGGTTTTTATTTGCATGATTTAGGGATTTAACACAGTTGAGTTCATGCCACTAGTTTTACCTCTTTTGACACACACACACACTCACTCTCTCTCTCTCTCTCTCTATATATATATATATATATATGAGAGAAAGGGTGTGGCAGATATACCTCCCACATAATGGTAAAACATTAGTGGCAATGGCGTTTTTATCTAGCTAATGTCTTATTATTATCTGGGAGGTATATATGGTAAGTATTTCAGCTGTACCCTGTGTGTGTGTGTGTGTATATATATATATATATATATATATATATATATATATATATATATATAATTTTCTGTTCATTTCTGTTATTTACGTTATAGATACAAATATTTAAGTAAATGCTGTTTGTAATAAACAGTATTAACTACATTTACCAGCCTTACTGCGCAAAAAATTTCATAGAAAATGTGTCCTCCGACAGGAATTGAACCTGTATCCTACACAAAACAGTCATATAGTCTGACTTTGCTAATCAGACTTCCTCTGAAGCTAAATGGTATCGCACATCAGGCTATATGGCAGTTCCATGATGGTTTAATTCCTGTCAGAGGACATGTATTTTTATGAAATTTCTAGGACATTCAGGCCAATAAACAGATGGTGTTGAGATTCTTCTATATCCAGCATTCAGTCCTGATGCTGGACCGAGTGACTATGGGCTATTCCGCACAGTGGCACACTTACTCCACAACCAGCGATTCAAGACTTCAACTTTTGATGAAGTGAAGGAAACTTGTTTACAGTTTTTTGATTCAAAGTATGTGAACTGGTATCTGAGACAGATTTGAATGCTAGCTGACCACTAGCAGAACATCATTGACAATAATGAACTTTATTTTGAAGAATAAATATTGTTGTCCCATAAAAAATTTTTCCTTTCCACTTCCAAATTGAGTTGGAACTTTCTGGCCAACCCAATATATTAGTTATAAATGCTGTTTTTGTTTTCTTTTCATTGGACTTTGTATTTATTGATTTACTTACATCTGTTATGAATTCTATATACCTACTTATAGAACAATGAGTAAATATTTGTGATAGATTTCTTTTTCCTTTAGATATTCATGGGATTTGTGGTTAGC